GAGGTGGCTTTCAGGAGTCCACCTTCCTACTGCATCCTGAAGTTCCCAGAACACCAGGAAAAGGCTAGTAAGAGTTGAAGACACTTAGAAGGCCATGGTTTTGCAGCTTGGAGGTTATGTGTCTCCTCCTTTGCACATTTCTTGASTCTTGATGCATCACCTACACCTAGCCCTTGGGTTCAGAATATAGTCACAGTCACAAGTAGGATCTGGCTGGGAAGCCTTCATTTTACTGTGTGTTGAAAGGCTTTTCAATTCATAATTTTCTTAAAAGACTTTTCAATTCATGTTGTTTTTTCTTCAATTTCCCTTTTCACTGTTTTGTTTCCTGTATCCTGTATCCAACATTGTCAAATTATTTGCTTTAGGATTCTGAGAGCATTATTGTTTACATTTATTTTCTACTTTCATTTGAGCTCTTTCTCACTATGATGTTCTCCAAATAGTCTCATCAGAAGAGTTTGTAGGTTTCTAAAATCAAACAACTATAGTAGTCTGTATATTGGCTCTAAGTCTTGTATGTATTGGCTCTGTGTTTTTGATAGAGAACGATTCTTCTGAAATCATGTTTAGTTCTCTAATGCTGAGAGACCTCCAAACTCTGGAAATGATTATCATTCCCAAGAATGTAGTTTGCTATATTCAACCCTATGGTATGCTCTCTATAATGCACCATGATCTTGTTTTTGTAAGGTCTAACTTAACCCTACCTAAGGCCCTAATCCAAACCAGAGGACAGAACATAACTTGCAGGACAGAAATCRGCCATGAATGAGGAAATAAAAAGTATGGATTGGGTGATATGAACGCTCCTCTTATTCTGAGGTCCCTCTGAGACACAATGGAAACCTGGATTTCTAAAGCTGTGTTTTTCAAACCTTGATCTTTGCCTGAGTCTGTTTTCCTGTCCTCCTTCAGATACAGACATCAGATATTCTCCTACTTTGCTGGTAGCAAAGGAGTCCTGAAGTTCAGTCCTGTCCCACAGAGCTGTTCTAGTTTTCTCTTATTTAATGCAAAATGCAGGCAAATTTCTGGGAGAATTGTCTGGAAACTCCTAGCTATCTTTTCTCTGGAAGTCAAGTTTCCGGTTTACATCTGGTCTCAAAGGTTTCCTTCTGCATAGCAAGCCTTTTTTGATAAAAATGAGAAGATTTATCTCTGTGATAACCCATGGCTTGGAAGTCAATACTGGTATACATGTATTACTGCGGTTTGGACAGCACTTACCTCGTATAGATGCCTGAATTTAGATGCTTGGTGACAAGTGGAGTTGGGAGCCACTTAATGAGCTCAGGCACTTATAGGATTAGTCCATCCTTAAGAGTGAGTGATCTCACTTGCTGTCTGGTGCAATCCATCTCTAGCAGGACACGGGCAAACGGGAAGTGGTGTTTTATTTAGGAATGTTATATTCCTTTTACTCTGCCATTCATCTAATGGATATCGGACTTGGGAAAGCACCACACTGGCACTCGTGAGCACTAAATCTGCTTCCAGTCCGCAACTATTTCCAGGAAAATGCAAAGAAAGAGGCAGCCTCTGTCAGCAGGGCAGGGAGCTCCCTCCACCTCACGCCAGTACTCCCAGCCCTCCTCGGGGCAGATGCGGCCTTTGGGAGGCACAAAAGGCTTCCTTCGGGGCAAAATAAATATATTTGTACATAAATATTTATGGATATATGGCAGGAAGAAGTCAGAGGAGGTCCATGGGTGACGGCGGTGCCGCTGCGCCCCCTGGCGGCGCGCGCCGCTAATGGCCGCTGAGGCGCGGCCCGGGGCGGGCTGAGGCCGCCGCGCGGCTCGAGGGAGCCCGGTGGTGCCCGAGGGCCGTTCGGTCCCCCTGCCCCGTGCCCTGGGCTGCGCATTGCTCCTTGGCGCTTCTGAGAGTGCCTCAGAGCAGAGARGCGAGCCTCAAGGCTTGCTGGTCGTCAGCATGCCCCAGATGTCCATCATTGCCAGCTGCCGCTGTGGCGTGAGCCAGCTGCTTGGCGGCGGTGTAAATTGTGTCCCTTAAATGTAAAAATAAAATGATTGCTTGGAATTTTGACTCTTGTTTGTGTCAGTCTGTCCCTGCCTAATCTCTGAAGCACATCTGTGTAGTGAGGCCGGGAGCATTGTGCCCCTGCAGCATGGYGGAGACTGGGGTCCCGGGAGGGAGAGCTCCTGAGAGCCTCAGCCGGCCTGGCTTGACACGAAGCTGCTCCATGGTGAATATAAACACCCTGAGGTGTTTGCACAGGATGCAATGATGAAGTGGGGCTTGTCTTTCCATTCTCACTGAGGAGCTCTATGTGGCAAAGCAAAGGTGGTGTCTTGGTGTTTTGGCCCAAGGGAGAGCCTGTTCCTGGCCCCAAGGACCTGTGTCTTTTTCTGGACACAGGTTGCAGCTTCAAAAGCTCTTGGGCCACATTTGCCACCTAACCTTGTGCCCAACCTCACCTTGAGCATCCATGGGATTGCCCCATAGAGCAAAGCACTGGAGTTGCTGTGCTGCCCTGCTCCCTCCAGCACCCCTCTGCAGCCCTTGTGGCACAGGGACCCCAGGGACACCTTGCACGGTTATTCCCCTTGGAAAATCACAAGGTCAGAGCTCACCCCTGCCATTGA